TAATGCCCTGAGAAAGACCAAGTCGAAACGTTGACTCGATAATTATAATTCAAAATGTATATATACCTAGCTTTTTATTAATACTTTAATATTGCTCGGAATATCGGCCGTAACATTACTTAGCTTTTAATTTTAATATTTTATTTACTTATAAATAAAATACTGAAAATAATACGACATCGTAAAAATTATAAAATATCGCGAAATAATTTTTCATATGCAATAGAATAATTATAGGTAATTATGTTGTAATTTTAATTATCATATGATCTATAATTATATTATTCCAGTAAACACATACTTAGTCGGTGGAATAATAGTTGCAGATACACAATACAATTATAATTACATAATCATCTATGATTGTTATATTATATGTAATACGTATTAATTGTGTGCATCAAATTGTATTAAAAATGTTTTTTTAATCAAATGCACGCGCGAGCATTACAGCGTGACTGACCATTTTTACGCGTTCGCGGTTCTGTATTTGAACCTTTTACCTTTTATCGACCGTGACGGTAACGTAACGCGCTCGCCTGCACCGCTCTGCACCGTAGCTCACCGGGTAACGAAACTCATTAATGCTCCCCACTGTACACATAATTTTAATTCATTTTTATTATGTCTAGACATAATAAAAATTGTATGAATTAAAATTATGTGTATGTACACATAATAAAAATGCGGAATTATAATAAAAATTGGCTGAATTAAAATTATGTGTACACATAATAAAAATGCGGATTTATTTTTGTCAGACGTAATTTTAATTCATCCAATTTTTATTATGTCTAGACATAATTTTAATTCATCCAATTTTTATTATGTCTAGACATAATTGTAATTCATTAATAAGAATCGCGATTTTTCTTAAGACAATTATTATTCTATCTTTTGTATTGAATGGAATATTTATTATGTTATTAAAAAGTAAAACGGCTCGCCTTATCAATTTTTATTATGTTATGACATAATTTTAATTGGATGAATTAAAATTATATCTAGACATAATAAAAATTTTTTTTATGTCCCGGCATAATTTTAATTCATTCAATTTTTATTATGTCTAGACATAATAAAAATTGGCTGAATTAAAATTATGTGTACACATAATTTTAATTCATTTTTATTATGTCTAGATATAATAAAAATTGGATGAATTAAAATTATATGTTAAAATTTAATAATAATTGTCGAACAAAATAAAAATTGTATGAATTAAAATTATGTCTAGACATAATAAAAATTGGACGAATTAAAATTATGTCTAGACATAATAAAAATTAGATAAATTAAAATTATGTCTTGACATAAAAATAATACCGAATTTTTATTATGTGTAGACATAATTTTAATTCGTCCAATTTTTATTATGTCTAGACATAATTTTAATTCATTAAGGGGATGCTGGAGCTGTAGCCGAACTCGATCAGCGTCGATAAAGAAGTGCTCACCGACTATATCTGTCCTTGTACAGACAAAGATATAGACAAGGATAGCACGCTACATTGCACGCACACATACGCACGATGCACATCGACATTATACTTTTATATTATGCTTCCAAATCTTGATTTGGAGGGTTTATCGATGTTTTTCTTGTTGTGCAATTCGGGGGAACTTGTTTTCGCGTTCGTACCAATGGTATATCTCTTATATGAAATACATCTTGTGACGAGCTGACAGCTCGCCGCAACTCGAGACGCCATATTGGGATAAAAGTAGGATAAGGAAATCTGTACTTCCGTAATTTTTTCTCGTTTTCTATATATCCTTAAGAGGATGCTGGAGCCGTCTGTTTTACCGGCATTTTTTGTCGGCACGTAGCGTCGACATTAATTTGACAGAATTAAAAATCCTTCTCCAGAATTGCAGTAAATACATTAATGATTCGGGGGAACTCCGATTTTATATAGAAAACGAGAAAAAATTACGGAAGTATAGATTTCCTTATCCTACTTTTATCCCAATATGGCATCTCGAGTTGCGGCGAGCTGTCAGCTCGTCACAAGATGTATTTCATATAAGAGATATACCATTGGTACGAACGCGAAAACAAGTTCCCCCAAATTGCACAACAAGAAAAACATCGATAAACCCTCCAAATCAAGATTTGGAAGCGTAATATAAAAGTATAATGTCGACGTGCATCGTGCGTATGTGTGCGTGCAGTGTAGCGTGTGCTATCCTTGTCTATATCTATGTCTATATAGTTCGCCGGTCTTCCTTACCGACGCCGATCGAGTTCGGCTACGGCTCCAGCATCCCCTTAATAAAAATCGCAATTTTTCTTAGACAATTATTTTTCGAAACTTTTATATCGAGTACAATATTATTTATGCTATTGAAAAGTAAAACGGTGTGCCATCCAATTTTCATCAAATTTTACTTTGACGAATTAAAATTATGTCTAAACATAATTTTAATTAATTATTTTTATGCCTAGACATAATAATAATGTTTCTAAACCATTTTCCTCTTTATTGTAAATTGGAGAATTAGTTTTTATTTGTATACTAAAAATGTTTGCTATTAAAAAGTAAAACGGCATGCCATACTTGGTCGTTCCCCAAGATTGCCTAGTCAATCCTAGGAATACCTGCGTTTCGGGCTTTGACTATAACATATATATGATATTTATGTTCTATATCGTTATATTACATTCTAATATTTCTAAATATGTTTCTTTCAAATGTTTTAAAACATGCATATCTGAGACACATACCAGTATCTCACGAACTTAAAACTGGATGAGACAGTGCTTGCTCTGATATATAATACGTGTCTTGCTATCTAGATCTAGAAGTTTCATTAAACGATTGTATGCTTCCTTGGGGTATTCGATTTCGATATCTGGCGGTGCTTTAAGTTTTATAATAATTTTGAGACATCGTAAAATAAGGAATTGTACATTGTACATTGTTGAAGCAATAGGGAGGAAAATTAGCCCTTTGTCCGCATAGGTTTTTTTGGCACCTTTACGCCGCATAGGTGGGTCGTTTTCGTCTTGACGTTTTTTTTTAAGTGTTAAAGTGTTACAAAAAATCTGAAAAAATTCATGGAGGTAATTCAAACCTTCAATTTGAAGTATCAATCATAAAATTATAAGCAATTTAATTTTTTCACATATTTTTTATTTAAAAAATGGAGCAACTACAACTACAACTTGTAAAATCATCTTTCACTAAAAAAATCATAACTTTAGGACAAATAAAGATATCAAAATAAATAAAAAAAGAAATTGAAAGGGAAAAACGTACCTTTAATAAAAAAATATTGCATGCAATTATTTTGAAATGAAGTGCTTAAGTGTTCGCCGCCAACCTCGTTTTTTCAAGAATTACGTGTCTCCTGTGACGGCTGGAGGGGGTCTGGCGCCTTGAAACTCGGTAGGCGGGTTCTCGGGGAGCATAACTTTTTTTACGGATGCGCAGTGGCGCCATTTCTACGCGTTTGCAAAAGTTACAACTACATTTGATTTTCGCCCGGACGAAAACGACCCACCTTGGCTGCGTTCGGAAACGTCACCCGGGTACACACGGGTATACTCCCTTCTCCTTCTAACTCGCTAAGATAGAAAGAAAAGGGAGTATACTCGTGTGCACTCGGGTGACGTTTCCGAACGCAGCCCTAGTGGGACGAAAGGTTAGAGATATAAAGGTTTTATTTTCGCGGTAAAGACAACTCTATCAAAATGAGACTTTTGGCTGCGATCCGCACTTAACATAGACTATGTTTACACGGCGGCTTATAATTATAAGCCGAAGTTATAACTGCCGTATACTATCCGATCCAAAACGTTTCTCCTTTTGATCATAATAATCATTTAAATAAGAGCTTCTTTTAATTTTAAACTACACTTGCTAGTATGTATATATCAAAAGAGATTAATTCAAATGTTTAGAGTATGAAACAGGCTCATATTTAAGTAATCATATTGATAAAAAGAAGAAAAGTTTTGGATCGGATAGTACACGGCAGTTATAACTTCGGCTTATAAGCCGCCGTGTAAACGTAGTTATATACGCATTAAGTAGGATTTCGACCACGCGCGTTGCTCGATTCGAAAATGTACGGCCGATTGGTGGAAAACTTACTGTTACGTTCTACGGAAAGTGTGTGTGGCCAGCTTAATAAATACACCGTTCGCCGCTCATGTCTTTCCAAGGTTTATTTTGACTTTGTCCGGAAAGCAGAGGAATCGCGTTAAGAAAATTATCGTGTAAAAATCGTGTAATTATCGTGTAAAAAAATAGAAAATCTCGGCTCGAGGATGTCAAAGGAGAGACAATACATGCACGTATTCGTGCGCATCAAATAAGTCGGGCGGGTCAAGTAATTATAGCTGGCGCACACGGAGAGAAAAATCTTACTTCTGTGGTATGAGCGTCTCCCATGCATAAAAAGCATGTAGCGCTTCCTTGCATCAAACGCATGAATTTGTCCGTTTAAGGCAAGGATAATATCCTACTTCATGCTTTAAACGGACAAATTCATGCGTTTGATGCAAGGCAGCGCTACATGCTTTTTATGCATGGAAGGCGCTCATACCACAGAGGTAAGATTTTTTCTCCGTGCATACAATTAAAGAAACAAAAATTCTACGGAAATTTTCCGTTCGCTTGTCAAATGGACAATCACCTCTTAACCGAGGCGTAAAAGAAAGATTGCCCCCCGGCCGTGTAATAGATTTTATATCTATATGATATTAATTCGTTTAATTCATTTATTCTGCTGTCGGTTGCAAAGAAAAATAATGAGAATCTTATATTTAATTATTATCTATTTTCAAAGTCACATTAAGTGGTATATATGCTAAGTGTTGCCATTATTGTCCGTTATTTATATTGTTATTTTCATTTTTATTGTAAGGGATATTCTGATCGTCATCTATTACAGAGGGGGAATATTAATAATATTTCAGAATATTTCTAATAATTGTTTATATATTCTTTCACAACAGACCGACAGCCTGCGACGAGAACTGTCTAGTGCAGATGATATCCAACACGGAAATAACAGTTCATAAACAATCGCAAAATAAATCGAAAACGTACACGTTTGACGGAGTTTTCGGTCCGTCGGCGACACAGATAAACGTGTACGACACGGTGCTTAGCCCGCTGATGACGGACGTCATCAGCGGGTATAATTGCACGGTATTTGCGTACGGACAGACCGGCTCCGGCAAAACATATACCATGGTGGGTAATCGCGCGAACGATCCAACGATGCATTGGCAGAGCGACACGTCCGCCGGCATGATACCCCGTTGCCTAAGCCACCTTTTTGATAAGCTGCAGCTCCTGGAGAACCAGAAGTACACCGTCCAGGTAAATTTCCTGGAGCTGCATAACGAGAAGCTGATTGACCTGCTAACGGACGGCAACGACATGCCGCCTAAACTAAAGTTGTTCGTGGACCAGAAAAAGAAAAACTCGGTCGTTGTTCACGGCCTGAAGGACGTGACTGTCCGCAATAAAGCCGAGATCTACAAGATTCTCGAGAAGGGCTTGGACAGACGGCAGACCGCGGCGACGATGCTGAACCGGAACTCGAGCCGCTCGCACACCTTGTTCTCGGTTACAATCCAAACGAAGGAGAACACCAGCGGCGGCGAGGAGCTGGTGAAGACGGCAAAATTACACCTGGTGGACCTGGCCGGCAGCGAGAACGTCGGCAGGTCCGGGGCGGTCGATAAAAGGGCGCGGGAGGCCAAAAGCATTAATCAGTCCCTGCTGACTTTGAACAAGGTAATAACCGCCATCGCGAACAAGGCGTCCTACGTGCCATACCGTGAATCAAAGCTCACCAGGCTGCTGCGAGAGTCGCTAGGTGCAGGCCAAACGAAAACCTCAATGATCGTGACCGTCGCGCCCACGAGCGATAATTTCGAGGAGACAGTGTCAGTGTTGAATTACGCCATCCGGGCGAAGAACATTCTTATTCGTCCCAAGATCAATAATCAGATCTACAAGAGAACGCCGCTGAAGGCCGACACCAAGGAGACCGTTCAGGAGAATTCTGGCGATGCGGTGGAGGAAACCACTGCTGCCGGAACCAGCGGGGTTGGCGGCGGGGTTGGCGGCGGGGTTGGCGGCGGCGGCGGTGGCGGTGGTACCACGACGAATCCAAGCGACGCCGAGTTGCGCGGCGTTCCGGAGAATCCCGGCGATGCGGTGGAGGAAACCACTGCCGCCGGAACCAGCGGGATTGGCGGCGGCGGCGGTGGCGGTGGTACCAGTAGCGAGGCCGGCGACGTGGACGACGATTTCTTAGAATATCCGGATATCTTCGCCGTGGTTAAGGGCGCTATGGTAAGAGTCCTCGTCAGCTTTCAAAACAATTTAAATAATGTCGCGCACGTGATTTAATCCTTATCGATAAGCGAAACACCGTGTTTTTGAACTATTTTGAGTTTGAATGGCAATCTGTCTTCCACGTGCGCGAAATTTGCCAATATCTTCAATCGTTCGGCTTCGATTATAGCTTTGCTAAAAATACGCTTTGAAGATGATGGAATTATCAATTTTGGCTTTTTATTATGTCATTTAATTAAAAATAGATTTTTCTAGTGTACAGATAATTATTTGAGAATCTCTCAAGTGATTATATTTTATCGATGAATCGTCTTCTATTATTGCTAGACGCCGGGCAGGCTAAAGTTAACCGATCAGCACTTGATCTTCAAGAATCAAAAGACGGGAAAGGTCAAACAGATCTCCGCCTCTGATATGGAGATGGTGAACTACCAGCAGTTCATTGGGACCTGGGGCTTGCGTATCTTTATGAAAAATGGCACTCGGCATCGCTTCCGAGGCTTCAAGAAAGCCGATCAGGACAAAATTACTAAGTTCTTCTCCATCAATTATAAGAAGGACATGTTGGAGGAGAAGCAGAGTGTGAAGGGCTTTAACTGCGGCACCACATAGTTCGACGGATCTGTCTTGAGCTTCAACGTCGGTCATCAAACCGCTTTTGAAATACCATTGTGCTACGTGTCACAATGTGACACGGGATATCCTATCACATTGGAGTTCCATCAGAATAACGACGCTCCGGACAGTCTGATGGAGATGGTGACGACGAGGTTTTACATTCCCGTTAGTACCAGCGCCGATCAAGATTCCGTCGAGGCGTTCCATCAACAGGTGAGAGAGGATTTAAACTTTACATATGCACGTGAATATATTTGCGGACTTAAAACTGAAAACAGAAGACTGATACATTTCTCGATTTTACAATAGGTGATGCATAAGGCATCCGTGTCCGTGAACAGTGTGAGCAGCGACGCGATTGCTATTTTTGAAAAAATACTGTGTATAATGCCGCGTGGTCGTTACAACATCAAGATCTTCCAGTCCTTCTTTCAACTGTACGGCACAAAGATGGACTATAAAGTACCAATAGTTAATGTACTACGATTCTTTTTACTTCCGACCAATGATATTCAACAAATGTACTTTATAGTGAGCTTACATTGTCCTATAAAACGAGGCCAAACACGGTATCACTATTTGGTACTCCTTTTAGATCAAAATAAAGATATTGAAATTGAATTGCCATTTACTGCGGAGGAATTAAAACGAAAGAAGCTGACTAAAAAATTATCTGGACCAACGTACGAGGTGTTTGGCAAGGTAGTACAAAAAAAAAGAAAGAAAACTTCTAGTATTTATATTTTTATCTTTATGCATTTATTTGTTTACAGATAATGAAATTTATAAGCAACGACAAAAAATTAATTGGCCCAAGTGGCTATATGAGTCATATAGGGACACCCGCCATTAGTTGCTCCTTTAAAGCTGAGACAGGATATTTATATCCGCTCGAGCGAGGTTTTATCTACCTGCACAAACCTCCAATACATATCTGTTTTGAAGAGATAGACTCAGTAAACTTTGCGCGTGTTGACGCGTTGTCGACAAAATCTTTTGATTTTGAAATCGAGCTTACGAGCGGAGTGGTGCACACATTTAGCAGCTTTGAGAAGGAAGAATATGGTAAATTGTTAAATTTTACCACAACAAACAACGTGCGTGTCAAAAATCGCGGCAAGAGCGACAAACTCAATTACGACAAGGACTTCGGTGACAGCAATCAGGAGGACGAAATTAAAAAACAAAAAGAAAGAAGAAGACGAAGTCGTGTAAGAAGCAATTCTTTCTAGGAAGCGGAAAATTACCCAATATGAACACTGCAACTATACAATTTATTTTGTCTGCACAAAATGTAGGTCTTTGAAAAAAAATCTAAGATATCATATAATAAAGTGTTAAAATACAGAACCACAATTAAATTTGCTATTAAGTGTGACATGTATATATTACGTGTAGATAATACACAGACAGTATATGTATGTACATACAAACTAATCATAATAAAGATTCATCGAGCGCTCACCAA